GGTCTCCAGGTTAGAGTGTGGGTGTACTGTGCAGTCACTGGGTCATTTAAAACAGTCTTGTTTTGTTCTCCAGTGATATTGACAGTGGTAGCAGGTCCACCAGTGGAGATACAGGTGAGGGTGAACTGAGGACTGGCTCCATTGAGGTCTGACTCCATTGTCAGTTCCCCAGGTATGAGATGTCTCCTGCAATGTAGAATGAACTACACCAGGAACATTCTGTGAACCAATCAATACATACTTTCTTCATTGTATATTCCCACATAAACTGTCTGGTCAGTTTCTGTGTTGTCCATTACCTCACAGTAACATATTCCTTCATATACAGGATCGGCAGCAGTATTCCTCCTCACTCTCACTACCATAGAACTTCTGGTTCTGCTGAATCCTGGAACATTAGTACCATGTACTCTGTTCCTGTCTGGTGCAAACCAGTCTCCTCCAGAATTAGGACTATCAGCAGGTGGACAACGGTTGGTGACACAGAGTAAAGAAGTCTCATCAGTGGAGCCAATGTAACTGATATCCACATAGCTATTATTAGAGATGATGCTGCCATTGAGACTGAGGAAGACATCTATGGTCGATGACAAGTGTTAAGTGAAGAGCATAAAAAAGGACACACACTTGCTCACCATCAGGAGTTTGGATCATGAGAGGATCACTGTATACTCCAGTACCAGAGCTGGTGACTGCTGCCACGTGCACAGTGTATATACACTGTCTCTTTTGTCATTCCAGACACTGTGGTCATTCCTCCACTGGAGTCTCCTGACACCATCTGAATACTCCTGGCTCCCCCCTCCTCCCCATACCTTATCCAGTAGCCTGTTATCTCTCCATTCTGATGTCTGCACTCCACTTGTCCCCACTGGACAGTGATACTGGTGGAACTATTGACTGAGACTCTCACATCAGTATATAGGAGGGGCAGATGGAGCTACGAGTTAGAGAGGTTCAATAAAGAGGGATAAACACACTAGTTGACTGAGTACTCAGTTCCCTCCTCTAGACCATCCAGGGTGTATATATAATGTCCCACTAGCGGAGATATACTTGTGGACATACAGTACACCTTAGCTACAAGTCACAGTAGTCATTGCAGTAACAGCAGTACTGACAGGACCACTATCAGCTCCATTAGAGACTGTAACAGTGATGGTATTGCCTGGTTCTAGTCCAGTTATTGTATGTCCAGTGAAACTACTGCTAGCCACAGTGATACTACCATCATCCCTCAGATCAGGACAGACATGTGAGGTGTGTCTCTGCCACTGGACTACATAGCCAGTCACCACTGAGCAACTGGAAACACACTACCAGATATGGTTACTGTAGTGGTAGTGACTGTTGGAGTTGAGTCAAGGACCGGAGCAGATGGAACTGTGGTAGAAACAAAGACAGCAAACAATGGGAAGCTAGGGCAATTTTCTTTTTCCTTAGGAAAAGGAGCTGTCCTGGGTGTAGTTGACTTGTTTGCTCTGCCTTTGCCCTGCTTTCTACCTAGTTGTTAACACATACACTAAGTTAATGGGATTGTTTGTGGGTGTTCTTTCATTCTAGTGTACACCTACATTTGTGTTATGACATACTAATAGCTACCAGTGGGAAGTAGGAACCTGAACTGTATCCATAGGAATTTTTAGTATTGAGGAAATCAGACTTAGTTTTGACCTGCCGACCTTCGTGTCACTTTTTTGCCCATACTTTTGCGGTTCACAAGCACTTGGAGAGTACCTGTAGGTCAACACTGAGAGTTCAACGAGCATCTATGTCGTCATTTCACATAATTGTCTGAATGTGGGGACACATACTGTAACACAAACAAAATGAAAAGCACTAAAGTGCAAACCAGACGCGGTCGAGGTAAGCCTGTGCTAATTTACATATTGGCTTGTTCACTTGGTTTTCACGCCATAACTTTAAAACACAGTAGTTTTACGAAAATCGCCTTTTAAAAAATCAACCCAGTGTAGCACTGAACCCGATCATATCGCTATTTACCTGATTTCGTGCGCGCGGTGGCAGAAAACTTGGTAACAGACTGACGGACGACAGACACACTTACGGGACAACTACCGTAACCATCGCTGCGCATGCGCGCCGAGGGTTAATAATTAGAACTGCTTGCTTCGCTTGCATTAGTATTCGTTGGTTCTTAGCCTGCATGCCAAAACAGTGATTTTCGGACATTTACTACCTGCTATAACAGTGCTAGTTGTATCAGAAGATGGCTTGTTATTAGCCACAGTATAAGTGTAAAGTCCTCCCAGTCTCCTAGCCACAGTCAGAGTGTGGGTGTATATACTGTGCTGACACTGGGTCATTCAACACAGTCTGTGTTCCTTGGGTGACAGTGGTTGAGTCTCTGGTCCAAGTGACAGTGGTAGAAGGTCCACCAGTGGAGATACAGGTGAGGGTCAGCTGGTCAGGGTAAAAAGTCAATCCTCCAGATATTGAGATGACTCCTACAGTAAAGAACCAAACCCTAAGGGTCGTAATTGCTAATCAGCGAAACATAGTAACGTCAATGAGTTTGCTGGAATAGGCCATGCATGTGGACATTAGGAGAATCATAGATGCAATCTTGCTCTTTAGCTATACAAATATCTAGCAAGAAATGGAAGTAGCTAATAAAGACCTGCACTGCCAGTATACAGTCCCACATAGACTGTGTCTCTCACTGATGTGTCATCATCATCATTGACAGCATTAGTTGGAGTATCACAGCGATAGATACCAGTTGGTGAATTAAAACCACTGTTACGACGTAGATCAACTCTCTCAGCTACACGTATCTCGTAGATAATATGGCCCTGTCCACCGAAAGGCAGTCTATCTCCATTAGGGAAATACCAGTCTCCACGATGAAAACCCTGTGAACCACTACAACATGTGCTTAGGTCAGTATGACACTGAACACTGTCGCTACCGCTGCCCATTTCACTGAGGTCCACATAGGAATGGTTGACCAGAGTCTGAAGGAGACGTAAGGAAAGCTCTGAGAGTGGACCTCCACCAGAGACCAGAGGAGACTCAGAGACACAATTCTTATCATTGATCTGTTGCACATCACTCCAACCACTGACTGAGCAACTGAGTTAACACAGGCTTAGGAATGGTGGAGATAAGACACTTACTAGGCTTTACAATAACAGGATGTGTAATGCACCAGTAGTACACATAAACTACATTGAAACAGGTTTAGTAGAGAGAAAGTCAGTCATGTAGCTAGTGGTTGCAGAGGTCCGGCACATCTTGCTGCAGTTGGGAATAATTATGTTTGGAAAGGAGAGAGGGAGAGGGAGAGGGAAAGGAGATGGAGAGGGGGGGAGGGAGGGAGGGAGGGGGGGAGAGAAACGGTGTCATGGCAGTCTGCCATCTCTCTCTGCAGCACGTGATCATCATCTCCCAGTGCCAACACTTACACATAGCTACACTTTGCAAACACTCTCATACAAATCATAGTGGTAAATTTAGGCTCTTTCTCTAGAGCAGCACATTGATTATGTAGGGGTCTGGGGATCATTACTAGTGGACCGTTCGTATGTTTGTTATGTACCCATGTGATGAGTGTTGGGACAGAAATTGTCCACTTCTCGCGAGGCAAGCTGTCTATGGGAGAGGAGAACATGGCACGATAGTAGTTAATGGCTCCAGTGAGGGCTCCCGGTCTGGAGAACCTGCAGTTGTAGGCCTCCACCACTTCAACCGGGAATTAGGCTGGCGCCCAATATGCTGGCATAATTTTTGGAATAATAGGGGCTGCCCAGAAAAAGCATAATTCTGGGAATAATAGGTCGGAATTGCAATGTGTAGGCGTTTGCTCGATCTTCTGCCGGAGCTTCTGCCCTTCCGCGGTTTTGCGTAAAGATGGAGAACTTACCCTGGATATCTTCACTGCAAAAAGAGAGAAAATGAAGCGCATCACTCCACGGGAAGGCTAGAGACAGCAAAACCGCGCGAACAAAAGTGCAGACTCGGCAATTTTCCTCGTTCTACACGCCCCCCTTTTTACGCAAGGGTTTAGCGCATGCCAGCTCGAAGGGAATAATAGGGGCAGCGAGGAGGAATAATAGGAAAGATTTACGAGAATTGCGGAATAGAATAATGGGTAAAAAAGTTAGCATAATGGGCTCAACCTTACCGGGAATTGATCACTGTTCTTGACTCCCTGCGGCAGGCAACATGCAGAACACACGTAGCTAGACCTTTGAGAAGAAATCTGTTCGGTTCTAAGATTGGCAGGAAAAACTTCCGCAGAGTGAGAATGAAGACACTTATGCATGAAGGTTTTTTTTACCTCTTTCTGCTGCAGTAAGAGAGACCTACAATGGGCTACATGCTGAGGTGTGGCTGGTGAACTTGTAGACTGATCAGAGCCTCAGGCAGTCTCGGGATCTGGAACAAGAAGATGAACTGGAGAAAAGGAAGGGAGAGAGAAAGAGGGCCAGGGGGAGTAGTTTAGAGTATATGAAGGGGTCAGAGCCAGAGTGAGCCAACCCTCAATATTATACAACTCTTGCCAGTGTTTGTTCTATAAGAACATATTTGAAGGAAAACAGGCAAGAGTTGTATATTGAGGGTTGGCCCACTCTGACTCTGACCCCTTCAAATAAGAAGATCTCCTCAATTGTGTCCAGCTATTCTAAAGGAAATTCTTGAACACTCTGCACATTGCAATTGAAAGCCACATTAAAATTCGTCAAATAAAATTATTTCGAACCTTCCATGAGGACAGTTCAGGACAAATGTCTATCAACCAACTCTGGATACCTCAGAGTAACCCTCCTGCAATTAGAAAGATATAATGATACATACAATACAATACATAATATTATTTGCAGGAGGGTTACTCAGAGGTATCCAGAGTTGGTTGATTATTAAATTCATTGGAGTTTAACCACACCCCTTACCATGAGACACGCATCCCCAGTCGTGGCCAACGAGGACGCAAGAGGAGTGGCCAAGGGCAGGGATGATTTTTCGACCATATTTGCAGTGAGATGGTTTAAGGAGTATTCTGAGGACCCCACTGGCTGGTCCATGTCACCATATCCTCTGTGGAGAGAGAGAAACTACACAATTAATGGGGTTCCTTACAACATTCTGGATTCAAGGGTTGAATTCTACCAATTCGTTCTATTAAGGACGAATCTTTTCAATTAGCTAATTACACTACCTCATATCAACCGCCACATGGTAGTCTTTGCAGAAGGCCTTCAACTGATGACGCCACGAAAACCAAAACTGTATAAAACATTACGGGGGAAAAGTGAATGTGTGAAGAGTGTGAGAAGTGAGAAGTGAGAGAGGTGACCTCGGGGAAGCTGTGAAGCAACAACATGAGAGATCCCCCATCTCCCACTGATGTTACAGTAGTCCAGGTTGAACCTGAAGAAATCAAAACTTCAGAAATCCAATGTTGGTACTGTACTTCAGTGGGACCCATAATCTAGAGGTCGAAGGGTGCCCAGTTCAAGCTGTAGTGGATACAGGAGCTGATGATCATCTCGAGAGACCAGCTGCACCGAATCAGCCAGACGAGCAAGAAGCCGGACGTGGTATGGCTGCCTACCTTAGTGACTCTAAGTGCCAAGGTGTATGGTCGTGTGAAAGTGGCCGCAGTCAACTCACCATCACCGCCGAGGCTCAGTTGCAGTTCACACTGGATGACCACCAAGTGATGATACCGGTGTTTGTAGCTATACCCCGGGAGTGACATTCCATGCCTACTGGGTACTCTATGAAGCAAAGGAGATCCTTTGGTTAAGGACCTTCACATCTTACCTTTGGACGTCACTGTGGAGCCGACACCCACTACTACTACCCCAACTACCACACCAATGGTTGTTTCAGATCAACCTTTGGTAAAATCTACCTTAGACGCACGAGACCAAGCACGACTCGAAGCTTAGTTCTCTCAACCTTCATCCCTCTGAGAATGGGGAAGATGTTGGAAGTGGAAATTGAAGTGAATTCACCAATCCAAGCAGATCTCTACTTTGAACCCAGTTATTCTATTGCTCTCAAAGGATTGGAGATAGCAGAAGCTGCGGTAAAGTCAAGTATGGATGGCAAGCTATTCACACCTATGGAGAACGACACATTACTCTTGACCTGTCTTGGCCCTGGGATGTGTATAGGAAGAGCCACACCACTTCCTTGCACCTGGGAGGAAAGCGCTAACGTCTTCGACTTCAAAGCGCCAGTTGGATCCATTGAGTTTACCACAGATGAAAGTGAGATGCTAACTTTACCATCCTCCTGCAAATCAACCGGACAACTGTGAGGATCAAAATTGTGCTTCCGAGACAAACGCCAAAAATAGTCGGCTGGAGAAGCTCTACGAAGTCCTCCTGTTGGAGAATAGAGCAATGGCACCAGAATAGTGTGACGTACTCAAGCAAGACTGCATGAATTGGTCCGTATGCCGTTCAGTATGTGCAATGCTTTCAAAGGCTTATGCAAGTTATCTTGGCTGGACTACTGTGGTTTTGTCTACATCGACGATGTATTGGTATGCTCGAGGAAAATCTCACTCATCTGAAGGAGGTCCTCACTTGTCTGCGACAAGCTGGTCTTAGATTGAAGGCAAAGAAGTGTATGTTCTTACGGGAAGAAGTGTCGTACCTGGGACACTGCGTAACTCCGCAGGAGATTAAACCAGACCCAGTCAAAACTGAGAAGATTCGTCATTACCCCGCACCTGCTGACGTCAGTCAAGTTTGGCAGTTCGACTTGCCTCGTATTATTGGAGGTTTGTTCCCGAATTTAATATTGCAGCCCCATTGCAGTTTCAGTGGTCGCCGGACTGCAGCGCATCATTTGGAAACCCGAAAGAAGCTCTCTACCCTCAGTCCAACCCCTTCAACACCTGCAATACCTCCCTTCAAACCTGGAAATGGTATATACATCCCATTGCATTTGCTTCCCGTTTGCCTATGCCATTACTGAACTTTAGACCCTTGGTCTCGTGTGGGAAGTTGAAATGTTTCGTCCTTACATTCTGGGTCGACATTGCATCGTCTTTACTGATCATGCAGCCCGTACTGCACTGTTATTGTCACAGCATCCCACGTCCAAGCTGGTGAGATGGGCCATGACGATCCAAGAGTTCAATCTAGACATTCGCCACAGAGCCGGGGAAAGCAATTGAGTAGCTGATACCCTCTCTCGGAATCCAGTTGAAGTTGCACAAGTTTTGCAATTTCAGTCAGTGAAGTTCTCAGAAACAGAAGGAAGGTCTATCCTTGTCTCGACTGAATCGGTTCGCACTCTGAATTGTCTAACTTATAACAACTACAGCATCATGATCCACAGTTGGCCCCTCTCTTAAAAAAGGAATATTGCCGGCAGAAGAGAAATCACCCCGTTGTTTCGTCCTGGAAGCGGAGTTCAAGAACGTTTGTCAGATCATGGACCAATCTTCCTTTCTGAATTGATGCAGAAAGTATGCAGATAGCTCGGTAAAAACCAATGCCAATACTTCTGGTTACCATCCACAATGTAGTGGGAAATTCAACAACACCCTAATCAACATGTTGGCCAAGAGCGTGAACAAGTATGGCCATGATTGGGACATTCATTTGCCTTATGTACTTTTTGCATATCGAGCCTCAGTGCAAGAATCAACCCAAGTTTCACCATTTGAGTAATTACTTTTTTCCTTGTGCATAGCTACCTATATTCGTTATCCGTAGTCATTGTTTGAGGGCATACAATCCTCTAAGGAGGGAGATGTGTGTTATTGTATCACCCGTATTAGCTACATTGCTGTGTATGTAGTATCACGAGATGACACGTGATCAGAGTTATGGCAGAAAATGATTTTGGGTATATAAGACGTGCCTGCAATTCCACGGAATGTCTGTGTCTGAAAGGCCAGAAGTGTCGGGGGTGAACGGAAAACTGTTGGAAGTTGAGAAAGGATCTACGCCAGAGTTGAAATTTTGTGCAAGAACATCATTTAGGAGGGAAGCTTTATCAATACTCGCTGAGATCATGCTTATCGAAGAGCTCTTTACAGTTGGAAATTGGGATATGTGAAACTTTCTGCATTGTCTGACTGTCTTCCAGAACCCTTTTGTAGCCTTACGATGCAAGCATTCTTTCTTTGTGATGGCCTTGGTGTGTCAATGTGCTCACAATCTCTTTGTAAACTGTGCTCAATGCATATTCCAATTCTCCGTTTTTAAGATTTTCGTTGCCACAACTACAGTGGAAAATATCTGACAATGGATCTTCCAGACTGCATAAAGTGCTCGTCCATTGTTACAACAAGTTCACACTGCTCTTAGCATTCGACTATTGTTGACTAGAGTATAATTGGCGAGCGGGAGCGAGCTAACCTAGTGGTCCAAACGGCGCGATTTTTCTGGAGTCGATAGACTCTCTATAGAGGGATGACGCGTGTGAAATCTTGATCCGCGTACAAAACGACTCAAAACTCGGTGAGAATCACTCCCTAGGCCTTCAAAACATACTAGCAATAGTCCACGGGCGAGATACAATCTATGCTCATGGGCTATGGTAAAAAGGGACACCTTGGGAACATTATACCGTTTGGACGCCATGGGGATCTGCTTAAATAAG